AGGAATGCCTATAAGACATGATCCCTGTTTCCAAGGGTAGACAAAAAAAGAGAAAGATAAAACAATTACAAAACAGGTGTCCTGTGAAGAAGAACGTCAAGTTAGATAACAATTCATAACTTACAAGTTGCTTCTGGTCAAGGTAGTGACGTCAGATGACCTTGGAGGAGAGCTGTGAGCTGGAAAGAATTTCTTGAACAAACCCCTTTAGTCAAGTGAATAATGGTAGCTGGGTACCTAATACTGTGAGGGCAGGCCACTAATGTCCCTCACCTTATGGAGCCATTCATTTTCTTTATGGTGACTTTAACAATTTGGTAAGTACTATTTATTGAACACCTATTATGTCCCAGGTACTTTGCCCAGAGCATTATCTATATTATCACTTATTGATCCCTCCAGGCCCAGTTCATTGCAACTTCTTTTGACCCACACCCCATGGTGCATAGCCCCAAGCTGAATTAATAATTCCATTACTAATTTTTAATTCATAATTAATAACACTCCACTCATTCTGTCCAGTCCTTGAATGCAGCACTTCTCATCCTGTAGTCTACATTTCTGGTTGTTCCACTACCCACTGAGCTCAATAAGAGCAGCACCCATATTTCACTCCAATTTCTTAGCATTTGGTAGTTCCTAAGTAATCTGTTGCGTGAATATTGAGTGGAACTCCATGACTTCAAACTCATTGAAGAATCATGAAATTTTTGAGCAAGGATTTACACTTCTGCTACATACGAGAGAGATTTAACTGGAAAGAGTAACTTGCCTGGGCTTCCCTGATGGCGCAGTGGTTAAGAATCCGCCTGCCAATGAGGAGACATGGGTTCGAGCCCTGGTTCCGGGAAGATCCCCCATGCGGTGGAGCAACGAAGCCCGTGCGCCACAACTACTGAGCCTGTGCTTTAGAGCCCACGAGCCACAACTACTGAGCCCGCACACCACAACTACTGAAGCCTGCGCGCTTAGAGCGCGTGCTCCGCAACAAAAGAAGCCACTGCAATGAGAAGCCTGCGCACCACAACGAAGAGTAGCCCCAGTAGCCCCCGCTCACCGCAACTAGAGAAAGCCAGCCACAGCAAGGAAGACCTGACGCAGCCAATACATACGAATGTACATAAATAAATACAATTTATTTTTTTTAAAAAGTAACTTGCCTGAGGTCACATGAATTTGATAGAATAAGATTAGAATCCAGTTCCCTTGCTTTTCAGTCCACTGTTGTTTCTTTTATCATGGAAAATGCTACCAAACACAACTAAATATCTTTATCTACCAAATCTCCTAGCCCCACCCCAATCCTATCAGCAAATTGCCTTTGGGCCTTCAGTCTACTTCTGTAATATTAAATTTCCTAAAATATCCTACTTTTTTATATATGGCTTTCCTTTCACAACTTCTCATTCCAAATAGAGCAAAATCCAAACTCCAAATTGGTTGGCTTTTGCTGTAGCAGCACAGTGTAAAAGTTGGGGGAAACTTCTGCCTGTATTTTCACTAACAAGCTATTTCCACAGGTACACTTTGATCCAGCCCAGTGAAACTTCTTGTCAACACACACACCATGCTCTGTCTGAGACTTCCTATTCCTTCTGACTAGAGTGTCCTTTCTCCTAATCGACCTGGTACACTTTAATGACCTGTTCCCCTCTGGACTGGTTGCTTCTAGCACAGAGTAGAGACCTGGCTTGAGTCACACAGTAATTGGAGTGAATTTTGTGTGTCCAGCACCTAGGGCATAGCCCTCTGAAAGGTTCGCTGAATGACTGTTGTCTTTGGAAAATCACAGAAATGTAACTTACTCGTCAGAATTGTAAGCAACAATTTACCAAAACTTTTCTATTTGGAGGAAAAATAAGTAAATATATTGGCTCACTCAGCCTTTTTTTCTCCTTTTTTCCTTTCATTCTAGTTCAGATGTTATGACTCTGCTATTGTCACTCCCTCTGTGAACTCCATATTCTCCCAGCACCCCTGCCCCTGACATTTGTGGGAGAGGAATCCCCAAATTCCTTAGGGGCTCCATCACTGCAGCAAGTTCTCAGTAGCAGAAGAAGGTCTGGGCTGCAAACAGGAAGTTTTTGTACTTCTGGCCACTTTGTGCCCGGGGCAAGAACTGCAGAGTCCACCTGGAGATTGCAAGCGAGAATGACAGAACAAAACTAACCTTCCCTTAACCCCATCTGAAGCTTTTCTGTGTAGACATTCTGACCCAGTACCAGTTAGGGCTTCTCTTTCCAGAACTGGCGTCTAGCAGGCGCATCAGAAGGGCATCCAGCAAAGCATCAGGTATGAACCCTCCTTACAAGGTCCCTCTTCACTTAAAACAATCTTGAGTGGGACATCTCAATAATTGCTCTGAATTTTTAAGTTTTCAAAGCATCCGAAGGACCTTCCCCTTTGGAAGGCTGAGGGCCAAGGAGAAGCAAAGGCTAGTCACCTAGTCTCGAAATCCTTTTTTCCTCCTTCAATGCCCAAGACCCCATCTTGCCCCTTTAGCTCACACGAGGGCCAAGAGGCAGCTTTCCTCAGCCTGCGTGCCTGGCTTCGTCAACGACACCCATTAGTCTCCAGTCTTCCAGGGCAGCGGGGGGCTCCCGGCCACGCGCCCCGGGCCCTGGCCCAGGCGTGGGGGCCCCGTGGACCACGCTGGCTCGTGTGTAGGGAGAAGAGATGCGGCCAGCCCCGAGGATGACCCTGGCCCCAGCCTGCGGGGGCGGGTAGTCCAATGGGCAGCCTCGCTCCGGAGGCGGGCTCAGGCCGGAAGCCACCCCGCGGCACAGCGGCCCCGCGAGACGGCGCCCGCGCCCCTGCCTTCTCCGGTACCGGCTCCGCGGCCAAGGGCGTCAGGGGGCAGCCCGCCGGGTCCCCGCCGCGCTCTTTGTCCTGGCCGCGCGCGGGCGGACGCGTGCGCCCCCCGGGTGAAGGGAGGCGCGGAGAGAGCGCGCGGGAGCGCGCGGGAACAGCTCGCGCCCGCTGGGCGCCGGCGGCGCGCGCCCCTCCGCCAGGCAAGCAGCGAGCGAGCACGCGCGCCGCCGCGCCCTCCCCTCCCCCCGCGCTCGCCTCGGAACTTGCTGACTGCGCGGCCGGGAGGAGCCGAGCGGGGCGGCGGCGGGAGGCCACAGTGCGCGGGGGTCTCCCGCGTCCCCTACGCCTCGCCGGGAGCTCGCGCCCTCGCCCAGCCGAGCTCCCACCCCCCCGCTTTTTTCCGAAGGCGCTGGGCGGCGCCACCCTCCGGCCGGAGCCCGGCACTGCACAACCCCCTCCGACTTTCAATGTTCCACACTCCCCGGCCAGAGCCTCCTCGGCTTCTTTTTTTCCCTCCCCCCCCTTTCCCCCCCCCCAGCTGCCTCCATTTCCTTAAGGAAGGGTTTTTTTCTCTCTCCCTCCCCCACATCGTAGCGGCGCGCGAGCGGGCCGGGCGGGCGGCCGCGGAAATTTGTTGCACTTCTTGGGGCTTTGTTTGTTTGTTTGTTTTCCCTCTGAAAATTTTTTTTTCGTTATTTTGGACAAAATGTCGGTCCGTGATGTAAAAATTGAGCGAGGAACCTTGATGGCACCGGGAGCTTTGCAGAAGGTGCAGTTTGAATTCTGCTTTTCCCAGGGTGGCAGCTCGGTCTTGGCAGGATGAATCTTCTCTGCTGGCCGTGAAAACGGCCAGAGCAGCTTGTTAGTTGATTTTTTAAAATTCGTTAAGTGTTGTATTTAAAGGCTTACGGGCTCAGAGGAGGAATCGCCACCTTAAATAAGCATATGGGCTATTAATAGGGTATGTTTTCCTTTCGGAAAGGGAATTTGGTAGCTTTGACCAATGTCAGTGTGTAAATATTTAGACATTATTAGTGACTTTTAAACATTTTTCAGCGAGATCTGTTATTTACAGTGTGTCATATGTTATTAATGCTCGTTGCCTAAGTTCCCTGGCAAATCTGTTTCTTGCCTTCTGAGAAAGTAGACAATTGATAGATTGTCCAAGGGATGGGAAAAAAATGTGAGTGGGTTTTCTAACTTGAGTTCGGTAAAGCCCTGAACGCTGCCGTTGTGAGACACATCACCTCCCCTGTAACCTTCCTGTACGATGAGATGTGTGAACACTTTTGAAGCGTTTTCATTAAAATATGATTTTAGGTGAAGATTAAGAGAAGAAAATGCTGTTGGCTTATTTCTTAGACTTACATTTCCTTTATTTCCCCCTTTTCTCTTTAAAAGTTTTCCAAGAAATAACTTCACCAAGATGTCCAGTGATCGGCAAAGGTCCGATGATGAGAGCCCCAGCACCAGCAGTGGTAGTTCAGATGCGGACCAGCGAGACCCAGCCGCTCCAGAGCCTGAAGAACAAGAAGAAAGAAAACCTTCTGCCACCCAGCAGAAGAAAAACACCAAACTCTCTAGCAAAACCACTGCTAAGTTATCCACTAGTGCTAAAAGGTAATGTGTAAAAAAAGGATTAAGCATGTTGTCAGGTTGTCTTCCAAATGGCTGGACGCTTTTGTTCGTTTTATATCAGTAGCAATAGTTCGAAAACATTTCCTTTGCGCTCAGTTTTATTTGGACTTGAATGAGTTGTCATTCTTTAGGTGGCATATAATCCACCTCCCTAGAATTAGACTTTTAAGCAAACTCGTTCTGTACTTTGGTGACTTCAGTGAGAGTGTCCTTGAGCAGAGATTGGACTAACATCTGACAGATTGTTTAAGGAATTGGCAAGGAAAATTTGGTGAACCCAAATTAGCTGGTACATTGAGGATGTTTCCTTTTTATGAGTCATATTCGGCTTCCTTGAAATTGACACTTAGATCAGCAGTGTCTCTTCATGAAACTTAATGATCAGAAATGGTCATGTTTGCTAGAAAATTTGTAAATTCAAGGCCTTGGCTATATTCGAAAGCAGATTTGAAAATTGTGCTCCAAATCTGCTTTCAAGTTTTGCAAACATTACTTTAAGTCATGCATCCCAGGTATTACTTTTTGTAATTAAGCTATGGTTATATAGCTCTGTGTCCTTGTGAGGGCAAATAAAACTGAAAAGTAGCCATTTACATTTTAGGTGGCACTTGGTGAGTGACAACTTTGTCATTTTTCCTCTTCACTCTAAAACTTGTGGATATGCTTGTCACATTAATACTCAACAGCAGGAGAAACATATTTTGTTGGATATAAGTGAAAGATCATTTGTTTCTTGTTGATTTATGTTATCTGTAATGGTGAAAAAAAGACTGTCAATGGGACTCCATCAGTGGTAGTAGTAGTGGAATACCCATGATTTCTAGTAATTATACATCAAATGCTTCTATAGCATTAACCAATATCGACATTTTATTGATTTTTGTTGATCACAACCAAAAGAAAAAGAAAATATAAAAGCTGATCAAATGTTGGCATTCTGTAGTGATGTTCTGTGGATTTTCGCCTCTGTTACATCAAAGTATTAATAACGAGAATATTTATGAAATAACAGCAGTCTTTGAGATAATTTAAAATTCTCAATTTGTTGTAATCTTGTTGATGAACATATTAGACACATCTTAAGTTTTGAAAGCATTTTAAATTTGAATAAAATAAGGACTGCGTTTCTTCCTCTTACCTCAGGGATGTCATTATCTCTTCTCCCAAATTTATTTAATTTAAGTGCTGTACTTAAGGTCAGGGAAAACAGATTCAGTTAAATAAGAATGCCAGAATCCTTTGGAAGTTTTTCACTGGTAAAAATATTTGTAAATTTCAAACTTTTTTTTTTTTACAGATGAAATATTGTCAAAATTATTAATGTGCACTTGCAGTAGCTTGTTAACTCTTACCTTGGTAAAAGTGACTTGAAGTCATTGTCAAATATTCTAGTGCTTTCCCTCCTCCCTTCTTGTCTCATTTGCATATAAGCTTGAAAAGAGAATTTCTTTGGTAAAAAGTGTTTTAAAATACATTTTATATCCTTTACTGAGTACTGGTGGAGGGCTAGTTCTCAAATCAGGTGTGAATGTCTTACTTATTTATAGTAGCAAGTGAGAAAAAAAGCTGCAAAGTTTCTGTTAAGGGATTTGGGTTATGCCTCTGAGAACAAAGAGGAAGCAGCCATGTTAGCATTACTGAAGGCGAAGCCAGCCTTGCATTTAACTGCATGGTGGTAGAGGGCAGTGTAATTCCCCGGTTATTCTGTAGACTCTCTCAAATCCTTTTTGTCTGTTCTCATTTCACTAACAGAATTCAGAAGGAGCTAGCTGAAATAACCCTTGATCCTCCTCCTAACTGCAGGTAAGAAACAATTTTGTTTTTATTTCAAATTGTGGAAAAATATCAAGAGATTCATGTATTGTCCTTGAATATGTGTGCTGCAGAAGAGGCTACATTTGTTTCTTTTCAGCTTTGCAAGTGGATTAAACAAAAATTGTCTTGGGTGAATTAAATAAATTTGGGTGGAAAAAAACCTTTTTAGCGTGTATCATACACTTTGGACTTACGAATATGATTTTGTGCTTCTTGCTGGGATTAGTATGAATAGTGCTGATTTTTGTTCTGCTGTAATAGTACTATACTGTGTTTATTCAGAAGTATATTGCAGAAACTTCTAAAATTTTGCTAAGCTTTAAAGTTACTGCTTGTATGCAATCTGAACTGACCTTCCAAATTTAGAAATTGCTGAATGTGGTGTTACAAAATGTAAATGCAGTAAACAAGAGTATAGTTGTTTCTGTTTGATTTATTCAGTAACTTGCCTTAAGGACAAATTTTTTACGTGCTAAGCTAATGGTTTTAGTTGCTGTTTTCTAGAGAATGCATTGCTGGAATTATTTACATTTTAATTAAATGGCCTAATTACTTGGGGAAATTCTTAGTAATTTTAGTACTTGAAATTCGTGTATAAAAAGCAGTGAATGAGTTGGAATTTGTGGGAAGAAGTCATTTCAGTGAAACTCATGTAGAATAATTTAAGATTGTTGGTTGGTATAGGTGTATTAAAAGTAACTGGTTGGTAATTTTTTTCCTGAAAACTTTTTTTAAATTCCTCTTACTTAGTGCTCAGTTTTTCAACAGTGGCCTCCAAATTTAATCAAACTTAGAAAACCAGTCTTTAGATGATTTGCATGGAGATACCTGCTCAAGAACAAGAGTGGCTGCTAGAAATAAGGAAGTGTTGTGGTTTGATATGAAAATGTTTTCTTGTTTTACCTATATTTTACTACAAGTTGTGTTCACTTGTGATGATCAGACCTATTTCTGAAGTCTACTTGAGATATAATAGGATATAATCCAACTGCTTCTTATCACGTGTGTTAAGTGGGTCCCCCAATAAGGTGATCTGATCCTTATTTGCTCATACTTGTAATCAGACATTTCAGTTCAAAAAGGAAACATGAATGTAGACTAATTTTAAACATAGTGGTATGTCAGATCTCAAAGTAGCGCTTACGAGCTGCGCTGTGCGGTAATGTAGCCACTAACCACTTGTGGTTATTGACCATTTCAGTTGTAGTCCAAAAATGAGATGTTCTGTAAGTGTAGAATACACATCAGATTTTGAAAACTTAGTATGAAGAAAAGAACTTTTGTAAAATAGCTTACTGATTTTCTGAAAAATATTTATTGCGTGTTGAAATATTAATATTTTTGATACGTTGGGTTCCATAAAATGTTTTAAAATTAATTTCTTTTTTTACCATTTTAATACGGTTATTAGACAATTTAAAATTACATTTGTGGCTCACATTATATTTCTGTTGAACAGCACTGCTTTAGAGAATAAATAAATCAAAGTATTTCCCTTCAGGCTTCTAAATGGTGTGTCAAATCTGTAGCCATTTAGGGAGGTCAAGTTAAATTTGCTCTCTGGAAGAATCACTTAACTTGGCAGAGTGTATTCTGGTATTTCTCATTGTAAAAGACGTAAAGATCTATCAGTTCAAAGGTCTTAAATGTTTTAAAATTGCATGTAAGGTCAAACATTTTTTTAAAGGTTTTTGTTGATTTTCTGCAAATGACACAAACTAGTGTTCTTGTGTAAATCTAGCAAACCCAGTAGAGATGTGTGAGATGCCCTCAGAGGAGTAGCTTAGTGTTGCAGTTGCTGAAGAAATGTGCTCTACATGTTTAGCCCAGGAATGTTTCCACAAGGTCACTGATGATTATTTTAGAGGAAGTAGAGTCTTTCTTGGAGATAGAAAGTTTAACTTGTTATTATTTTTCTCTTTATCTACCAGATTTCCTTTCAGTCCATGAAATAATGCTTCACATTTAGTGATTAGGCTAGTGAAATAGTGAACCTTTGGGCTTGCCCGTGTGCAGTAACTTGGAAACAGCATCTGTGCTTTCCGTTGTCACAACTTGTGATCACTGTCAACTATTGCAAATGACATCTTTCAGTTCTCTGCTTCTTGTTATGTATGAGTTTCTTTGTGACTGTGTGAGTGATTAAAGAAAAAAAACAGAAAATATGAGTCTTAGTAGGAGACTGGAGAAGTTTTTTTTATTAGCTTGGGGACAGCCTTCCTTCATATGCTGGACAAGTAAAATACCCACATAGTTTCATGTGTTTTTCTATAAGTCTTCAGATTCTTTTGGGTGGAGGAACATCTAGTCCTTGTTCTTGAGCAGGAATTTGGAATAGTGAGTGTTTAGTGGAGGCATTTTAGGAATTTGACAGCTAATTTAAAATTTGTATTGTATTTTTACCTTGTGTCATACTTCTGGTGTTCTTGTAATTCACAGGTGCATTGGTGAGAATTTTAGCTTTATGATGATCGTACAGTTTAAATTTGTTAATTTTTGTCTTAATTAAAAATGGGACTCTATATTAATAAATTCTAGAGTATGTGAATTCATATTGCCTGAAATCTATGAAACCTAATTCTTTTGACTTTAATGTGTAGTTAATCAGAATTCCATTATGGTTTTGAATATGATTTTTATAAGCTTATCAAAGTACGTGACACATTTAATTCTTCCTCAGGGAAGAAATGTAAAGTATGTCTGTGTACCTTCAGGAAAAAGTTGAATGGAATACAAGAAAACTCAACAAAACCAAACTTACTCAGACTTGATTAAGATTTTTCTTAAATTCCTTCCTATGTTTAATTAATAAAATATTCTTTTTAGTTATTATACAGCTGTGTCAAATATGTATACACCGAGGGTGATCATAGGATAGACTTAATTACTGAATTAAATGTGTCACTTTAAACATGTTTGAATACATTTTGATAGTATTGATATTTCTTTTCCCAATAGTATAAAAGTTTGATAAAATGTTATTTCCAGTGATTTGATGGCATTTCAATTTTTAGGTGCTTTAGGCCAAAGCATTCTAAACATAGGGATATGACATTTAGTGCCTTCAATTCATACTCTTTATTGTATTCCAGATTAGAGTATAAACAGCTGATACACCAGTGAGAATGAAGGGAAATTGTATGTGCTATTAAGGCATTTATGTTCCATCCAAAGAGTGTCCTTGTCCTCTCAGGACTTGACAGGTGGCGGAAGTTTAGAAAAGTGCTGGATTTTGAACTTAGCCTCTAATTCTTTCTATATCTGAGAAAGTAGAAAAATACTCTCCAAAAATATTCTTTAATATGTTCAGATTGAATCTGTGTTAAAGTAGGTATTCAGGGACATTTGTAAATAGTTTTTGAATGTGGGAAAGACCTTATTGGGAGGGAGGTGTGACGGTATCAAGTTGTAGTATTAATATGCGAAACCTGAAAGTAGGTACTAATGCTTGCAAGTTTTGCTCATTTCCTTCTTTCTAAAAAAAAAATTAAGAGAAGCAGTTAAGTTCTAAACCAGAAGTTGGCAAGCCCTGATTTATTTGTAAGCCTAATTGTCTAACTGGATGAGCTCTATCTCCCTTTGAGGGTTACCACCACTTTGCACCATTTCTAGGGAAGATAGAACTTCGCTGGACTGGACTGTCTGGGTTCAAATCCCTGCTCTGGCACTTAATAGCTATGTTAACTTAGATAAGGTATGGAATATTTCTATCTTTCAGTTTCTTATCTGTATAATGAAGATTAAAATGATATCCCTCTTTATAAGTTTGTTGTGAGGATTAGAAGAATTAATATGTTTAAAATTTTTTTAACAATGTAAACTTGGTCAATAAAATGGCCGTAGCATGGTTAAAGAGCTAGTTTATAGCAGTATGCCTTCACCCTTGCTGGCGTTTTCTCCAGTGCATCAGCATCCAACTGTAGGAGTAATTTCATCTTAATCAGCTGCTCACCTATTTATTGAGACTATGTCAGGCAGCTGTTTTTTTGATGTTAGTGAAAGCAGTTCCTTGGAACTTGAGTAAAAAAAGAAAATAAACCTAAGAACATTGGGTAAAGCTGAACAAATAGTATATCCTCTTTAAAGGAATATGCATAAGGTTAATGATACTTAATTCAGTAGAGAATGCTCTAACTGTCCAATAAATTATAATAAAAAAATTTTAAAATAATGGTGATAGTTATGGTTTCCCTTTTAAATGTTCCACTGTAGGGATTTGTAGTTTTACTGTATTGAGAATGAGATTATATCAATGTTTTTGTAAAATTTAGATTCTGAATTGATCGTTTACTCGTTACCTAAACATAGCATTCTTTCCTTCTCTCTGATCTAAGGAGAGATTTTGGAAGCTTTCTCTAATTGGTGTATGAAGGCAGGTCATGATCAAAATAATGTGATATCTACATAGCTTTGTTGTGCTTATACAATACTTGGTTTTAAACCCTCCCACACATATGGATAGATTGCTTTTTCTTTTTTACTTATACATTTTATTGTTATTAACCAACAATATTAGCCAGTTTATATTAGCCAGTGTGTGCTATGTGAAGGTACCCTATTTTATAAAACAAAATTGTGCCATTAATCATCTAGTCCTTTTGTTTTCAACTCTTGAAAAAGAAAATCCTGCAATTGCCTTTTTATAAAAATTAAATCTCAGTTGGACGCTCGATTTGTAAAATAGGTAAGTATAGAACTACTCTGACTGAAGGTGTTTTCCATCTCACTCTATTGTGGTCATCTACCAAGGGTAGTTCTTATTTTATTATTAATTAATTACATTTTGGCATCAGCATAGACCTCAAAAATCATGAGGATTTTTCTTGGTACTTGGACATTCCTGTTAATTTTAAATGTTTTATTTTTCAATAAGCTAATAGTTGGTTCAGCACAGCTGTAATATCAATACATGAATCCAGTATGTTAATACTATATACTATAATTATTTACTTGTTTGTCTACCTTCTGCAAGAGTTAGTGTTCCTTTG